TAACCACATGGTGGCTCACAACCATCTGTAGTGAGATCTGGTGCCCTCTTCTGGCCTGCAGGCATACATGGAGTGCTGTATACATAATAAATAAAATCTTAAAAAAAAACAAGAATACGGTTGCTCTTCTCTCTTCCTCTGGCATAATATCAGGGTTCTGCTTTAATCACTCCATCATCCTGCTGGACAGATCTCATTTCTCATACCAGAATGTTCCTCCCTCTCATGCTCAGTTTGAACTACCAGTCTTGATGCTTTTTCTGGTCCAGCTGGCTTTGTGTTTCATTTGACCCTAATACACTCACTCAGTTGCACTGTCTAAAAGAGAATTATGTCCCCTCCCATGTCTGGGTGCATTTCTCATTTCTTACTGCTGGTCCTGAGTAGATCTGTAACTTCAAGGTTAAGATAAGACACATTCCATCAGAACTATGTCGTCATCCTTGCCAGCTTCTGATCTGTGACTGTCCAGAAGATTTACAAGACAGTTTCACCACATTCTTTAAAGAATATTATGGTTGGACTCTGACTCCTGGCATTAGGCCAATTTGATCTGTCAGCTGTTACAAAACCCATTTCCCATAGAAAAAGGGGCCTTGGCTCACATGCCCTTCAAGCTGCTCTTACAGGAGTTAGATCTGAACCTTTTATTTCCTGGTGTCTTGTAAGGATAAAGGGAGATAAGAATATTTTGTCCTTTGTGATTCTGTGTCTGTCTGTTGAAGTGTGCATACATGTGTATACTGTGTAGCTGGGTATGCACACCATGGCAAATGTGTAGAAGTCAGAAGACAACTTTGTAGTATCAGTGCTCTCTCTCCACCTTTGTGTGGGATCTGGGGATCAAACTTGGGTCATGAGGCTTGCATACAAGCTGAGCCATCTTGATGGCTTCCTATAATATAGCTCTTTAAGTATAAACTCATTTCTTTTTTAGTAGATAGGATGTGGGGATATACTCCTCTAGGCTTTTTCTTTTAAGATTTATTTTTATTGAGCCGGGCCTTGGTGGCGCATGCCTTTAATCCCAGCACTCGGGAGGCAGAGGCAGGTGGATCTCTGTGAGTTCGAGACCAGCCTGGTCTACAGAGCGAGTTCCAGGACAGCCTCCAAAGCCACAGAGAAACCCTGTCTCGAAAAACAAAAAAAAAAAAAAAAAAGATTTATTTTTATTTTATGTATATGAATATTTTGCTTGTGTGTATGTCTATGGACGCTTTGTGCCTTGTGCTGGCAGAAGTCAGAATAGGGTCTCAGAACCCCTGAGACTGGGAGGTACAGACAGTTGTAAACCCATTATGTGAGAATTTACCCGGGTCCTCTGGAAGAGCAATCATTACTCTTTACTGCTAGCTAGCTATATCTCCAGCCCTGGCGTTTTGTTTGTTTTGTTTTTTCCTTTTTTTGGAGACAAGATCTTGCTGTTTCTCCTTGACTGGCCTGAGATTCATTCTGTAAACAACTGTTAAAAACTGGCTTTTTTATATGATTATCTCAAGTTACATCAGTTTTCCTGAAAGTGATTTAACTTTATTCTTTATGTCTGAAGGTCCCATAATGTATGCTTACCATTCCCTCTGTTGCTGGATGTCTTTGTTAGCATATACATCTGTATGTTACATACATGCCTATTGCCCTCAGATGCCAGAAGAGGGTGTGTCAAATCCCATGGGGGACTGGAGTTACAGGTGGTTGTGAGCCATTCTGTGGTTGCTGGGAGCTGAACCCTGGTCTTCTGCAAGAGCGGTTAAGTGTTTAAAATCATTGATTTGTCCATCTCTCTGGCTCCTGATAAAGATCACCCCCTTTTCCTTAGCATGCATAAGGCTCTGGCCCCACAAAAAAATGTTTAAATTCCCAAATGTGAAGCAGATATGGTTTCGAATCTCTAAAATGTTTGTTACAGTCAGGTGAAAGGACACTGTATGTATTATAGTCTGGTTTTCTTTCTTTCCTTCTGAGACTAGGTCTCATGTAACACTGGGTGGCCATGAACTGACTGTGTAGTTACTTGTGGATGACCTTGAATTCCTGATCTACTTCCTGTTGTTAATGGTCTCTGTTTTATTATATCCTCCTTTTCCTTGGGTTTTAGGAATTATAAAGAGTAACATATTAGGGAATAATACTTGCTAAAAGTCTGTTTTATAGCATTACAAGAATAACTAATAAAATAATTAAATTTAACCACATAATGACTGTGACCAACCTGCTCGTGCACGGGTGAGAGCTCGCTCTCTCTCTCTCTCTCTCTCTCTCTCTCTCTCTCTCTCTCTCTCTCTCTCTCTCTCTCTCTCTCTCTCTCTCTCTCTCTCTCTCCCCCCCCACTAAGGGACTAATTTTTCTCACGTGCAAATTCAGCTGAAAAGTTCTTTTTAAGGCCCTGGAGATCGTGCCTAGCTATTGTTTCAAGTGTTTGGGTTCTAGTTCTGTTGTAATTCTCTCAAACAAGGAAAGTTACATAGTATCATTAAAATACTTCCTCTCTCCCTTTCCCTGTTACTTCTTTCCCTCAAGCAATTTTAATTAACTGTGTAGTGACAGATGGTGGGAAAAGCTTTGTCCAAAGTGCTTCTAGATTAGGGTGGTTTGTCTTGCTCTGTTGTAGGAAGGGCCTACTGTTGCCCCTCCCCCTCTGCCAGTGAGCTGTAATCCTGTTAGGTGGTCCTAAAATGCTATTGATTAATTCACAGTGCTTTTAGAAGAATAAGCCTAAATTTTGGACTTTAAACCAAAGAACTAACTCCCTTGAGCTCTGAAAGCCTTAGCCTTGAGGCCAAGGGAGGTACCTTCCAACTTCTCCACCCAGTCTGCAGTGAAAAGGAAAGTTAAGCCTTTTAACTTTTTCATTTGCCTCTCTCTCTTAGTCTAGTACGGCTGCCAGTTGCCATGGCAACGGACTGGGACAGCTGCGCAGTGGCGCCCAGGCAGCTGGGTGGGGGCGGGGGGAGCTGCAAGCCCGCCAAGCCCCAGACCTGGGAGGGGAGGCCCCTCCTGTTAGCCCAGAGGGAAAGAACGAACTGGGGCGATCCGGTAGGTAAGGGAGGGAACCCCTATTGATCTACTTCGGGCTTCTCTTCAGCATGAAGGTATAAAGAAATAAATTCTCTTCCTCCCTCAAACTGTAGAACACATATGTAAATCCTTGTTTTTTTCCCCTGGTGAGGCAGGGAAGGCCATAGCCACAATGCTTAACTGCATGCTTCCAACATGGGGCTGGTTTTAACCCAGCACTCTGACCTAAACTGCTCAGCTCCCGGAAATTCCAAGGTGAGTGGGGGTGGGGGTGGGGTACTCTCTCTGGAATATGACATTTCCTGTCTGTGGTGAGGTCGGAGGCTGTTTATTTTAAATAAACGTTATTATATTTTTTGATGCCTGGGAGTCTTCTAAATTAATGGAAAGATTATTTGAAAACCTTTTTACCTATATTCCCCCGTGCCTTCTCTCTCAAATAAAGTTATTATGGGTCAAAAATTAATACAAGCAGTCTTTGAGACTGGCCTACCTACTGCTAGTACGTTCTGTAGGTAGGATTTTCAACACTATATTCCTATAATGATTTCATAAAAATTGCTAATTTGAAATAAATTGATAAATACAAACTTCTGCTCTTCAGCTTGAACATCATTCTGAGATTAGTTGCACTTTCTATTCCTGAGGCTAGCTTTCTGGCCAAGATGGGAATGTTGTGAAAAACATCTTTAGAGATTATATCAAAATAACAGTGGAGTCAGCTTAGATATTGATTCCTGCTGTTTGATAATCCAGACTGTGGGTACCACTTAACATGATTAAGGAAGAATTCTTTTAGAACGATTTTGGTTCAGCAGTGTGGGAATTTTAAAAACTAGATTCTCTGTTGAGCACCTCTGACTGCATATTTCTGAACTTAATTTCCATTTGTGTTGCCTTGCCTGGGCTTTCCTGGGAGATGAATAGTCCTCTGTGTTCTGAGGAGGCCTCATGTTGACGCAGAGTCTGGGGCCAGACTTCTTTCCCCTCCTCTTTCCTTTGGCCCAAAGTCAACTTCAGTGAAGAGGCGAGGTACCTCCATAACTGTTTGGGTTAGTTGAGCCCTGGGAATTACAGGATAGTCAGTGACTAATTTTGAATTTTTTTCTCTGCTCCTTTTCCCTTCTATTCCCAAATGAGCTTACTAAAAAGGAGGCTTAGTGTGTTTGAGCTGTCTGTCAGCCTTGCTTTTGTGAGCTGATGGATACGCTAAAGGGGCAGGCTCCAGTTGTTGAAGGGAAACGTACCCAGTCACTAGGGATGTGGTGAGAGGTGGTCCGGACTGACCAATGCTCAGGATACACAAAGTTACTTTTGGTGTTTTGTGGGGGAAAGTTTCTTTTTTCCTTTTTCTTCATTCTTATAAAAACATTTATTCACCTCAGAGGAAAAATATTTTTATTCTTTTATTTCCTTTAATTGAAGGTTTCCCACAGTTTTCTTTGAGTTCCTGGCTCACAAGTAGATGAAGAAACGATCATGAGGAACATACCATGCTATTTGTTTTTTTTTTAATATAAAATTAAAGGAGTTAAACAATTGTGCCTTCTAATTTGATCTCTTCAACTGAAGAGAAGTTGTTGTTAGGGAAATGTGGATTGACCCATTTTAAAATTAAATTTGTAGCCTGTCTTAGAATAATTGTACACCGCCGGGCGTTGGTGGTGCACGCCTTTAATCCCAGCACTCGGGAGGCAGAGGCAGGCGGATCTCTGTGAGTTCGAGACCAGCCTGGTCTACAGATCGAGTTCCAGGACAGCCTCCAAAGCCACAGAGAAACCCTGTCTCGAAAAAAACAAAAAACAAAACAAAAAAAAAAGAATACTTGTACACCAAAAAGAAGGGTGTATACGGCTGACTAGTATTGTCCCCCCATTCCATCAAGAAGGGACAGTTTAACCCTCATGGATTGTCCCCTCTATTCCATCAGGAAGGGACAGTTAACCTTCATGGGTTGTAACTGTTTTGTCTTTACCCCTTTTTAGGAACCTGGTGGCCTTAGTCCTTCCAGTGGATTAGCGTGCGACATGGGAAAGAAAACCAAGAGGACAGCTGACAGTTCTTCTTCAGAGGATGAGGAGGAGTACGTCGTGGAAAAGGTGTTAGACAGGCGCATGGTTAAGGGACAAGTGGAGTATCTGTTGAAGTGGAAAGGCTTTTCTGAGTAAGTGCTTTCTTTTTCAGGCATTAGGACTCTGTAGAGGTAGAAAATTTGGTTTACTTGCTGTGTGCTACTGTCTGTCTTTTTCCCATTTATATGCTTTCATAAAAACCAAGAGAAAGCCGGGCGTTGGTGGGGCACGCCTTTAATCCCAGCACTCGGGAGGTAGAGGCAGGTGGATCTCTGAGTTTGAGACCAGCCTGGTCTACAAGAGCTAGTTCCAGGACAGCCTCCAAAGCCACAGAGAAACCCTGTCTTGAAAAACCAAAAAACAAACCAAGAGAGGTAATAGACCACATGTTCTCCCATTGTGGAGCTGATGCTTTAATGATCTTATATTTGAGGGGTAGTTTAAGAAATTAGTTGGGAGCACAGACTTGGAAGTCAGATATTCTGGAACCAGATACTTTTTTTTTTTTTTGGTTTTATGAGACAGGGTTTCTCTCTGTATTGTTTTGGAGGCTGTCAGTCCAGCCTGGCCTCGAACTCACAGAGATCCGCCTGCCTCTGCCTCCCGAGTGCTGGGATTAAAGGCGTGCGCCACCACCGCCCGGCTGGAACCAGATTCTTGTTCTACCCTTTAAGATATAGGTGAATGAACTTTCTTTTAAATTTTATTTATTTGTTTATTTTTGTTTTTATTTTGTTATTTGTTTTATTATTTTGTTATTATTTATACAATGTTCTACTTGCATGCCAGTAGAGGGCACCAGCTCTCATTAAAGATGGTTGTGAGCCACCATGTGGTTGCTGGGAATTGAACTCAGGACCTCTGGCAGAGCAGCCAGTGCTCTTAACCTCTGAGCCATCTCTCCAGCCCTAATTTCTTTTATTTTTGTTATTTAAAAAATTCTTGGCCGGTTGGTGGTGTACACCTTTAATCCCAGCACTTGGGAGACAGGTAGATCTCTGTGAGTTTGAGGCCAACCTGGTCTACAGAGCTAGTTCCAAGAGCTGTTATACAGAGAAACCCTGTCTCAAAAAAGCAAAAAGAAAAAGACAACAAAAAATTATTTCTTGCTGGGCTGGGTGATGATACATACCTTTATTCCCAGAAGTGGTGTGGGGGTGGAGAGTTTGAGCCCAGCCTGTTCTAAAGATAGTGTTCCAGGGCAGCAAGGGCTACAGAGAGAAACCCTGTCTGGAAAACACATAAATTTTTTTTCTTATTTTGTGTGCATGAAGCTTTTACCTGCATGTATACAGCATTTGTGTTGTCTGGTGCCCACAGTCCAATTAGGGCATCAGATCAGCTAGAACAGGAGTTACATATGGTTGTTGAGTGGCCATATGAGTTCTGGGAACCAAACCATGATTCTCTGGGGGTGCAGGTAGTTAGTCCATTGGCTAATTTTATAATCTGTTTTCATTTTCCCCCCCTTTTAATAAAATAGGGACAAGAGGTGGGTGTAGTTTGGTAGTAAAGTGCTTTCACCTAGCATTCCCAGGGTCCTGGTTTGACTCTCAGGTATGCCAGGAAAAGAAAAGAAGACAGACAAAAACAGGGATAAGACATAATACTTAGTGGTCTCAGTGAGTGTGAGTAAACCACTTGCTATTGCAAGTGTGAGCGTTTGAATTTAGATACTAGAACCCATGCAAAGTCAGGCACATGCATCTGTCCCTGTGGTCGTACACTGAGGTGTGAGACAGAAACAAGAGAATTCTGGAAGGGTGAGGGACAACTAGTCTGGCATACCAGCAGTGAATGGGGTAGAAGATGAGGACCAACAACTGAGGTGGTCTCTGACTTCCAGTCATACATACCCACACTCACATGCACATAAGCAGGAATATACACCTAATACATATGCATGTGCATATATACTGAAAGATTTATGAAATGAAGCTAAGGCTTTAATCCCAGCTCTCTGAGTCAGGTGGATCTCTGTGAGGTCAAAGTTAGTGCTGAAAGCAGCATTTCAATATAAGTGCCTTTTTGTTTGTTTAAATTTTTAATTTCTAAGGGACAGATCACTTCAAGTTCTTGTGTGAGTCAAAGTCTCGTTTTTGGTTGTGAGCAGCATATCTGAGGCTCGCTGGCCTGTAGCCTTCTTCAGCCAGTTCTGTCTTTGCCTGCCCTCTTGCAATGGGAACACCAGCACATTCAGCTTTTTATGTGAGTTAGTTCTGGGGACTGAACTCAGGTCTTCAGGCTTGGATAGGAAGTGTATTTATCTACTGAGCCATTTCCACAGCCTGATACCACAGCTTTATCTTCAGCAGAAGATATATAGCTCAGTAGTGTGGTGTTTGCATGTGAGAAATTGGATTTTGTTCTCTTGGGTTTTTGGTATTTTGTTTGTTTTTGTTTTTGAGTCAAGAGTTTCACTATGCTTGGCTGTCCAGGAACTCACTCTGTAGACCAGACTGGACTGGAACTCAAAGACATCTGCCTGCCTCTGCCTCCCGAGTGCTGGGGATTGAAGGTGTTTGCTGCCACCCAGCTGGGTTTTAGTTCTCAATAACACAAAAAGCAAACAGAAACAAAATGCAATAAAAACAACAGGTAGAACTAAATTTGCTAAAAGAGTCAATGTTTTGCCAATACTTTAAAGTTAGGATGCTTCAGGACCTAGTGAAAATTATTTCCTTTCATGATTTAACATTCATATGGAGCACTGGGCCTTTTAGGTAAATTGACTCATGCATAAGAGATTATGTAGCATCTCTTGTACCAGAGTGCTTTTTGTTTTGTTTTGTTTTAGACAGGGTTTCTGTGTATTTCTTTGGAGCCTGTCCTGTAACTTGCTCTGTAGACCATGCTAACTCACAAAGATGTTGCCTGCCTCTATCTCCTGAGTGCTGCAATTAAAGAAAGGCATGTGCCACCAACTCCCAGCCCAGAGTGCTATTTTTATACAAGATCTTATAGCCCAGGCTGACCTAGAACTCACTATGTGTCTGGAGATAACATTGAACGTTTGGCTTCTCAGGTGCTGGGATTCTGAGCTGCCACATTTCGAGAGCTCTACTCCATCACCATATTTCTAAAGAGGAATGCTAGCAATGAATGTGAGATATAGGGAAGCCCTATGAAATAGGAATTTAAGTAGCATTTGAAGAATTCCAGGTCATTCCTAGACTTACCATGGAATTAGCACTAGAAATACTTGTATGTTTGAAAGGTGCTTACACTGTTTGAACTTTCCCAGCAGTGGTGTCCCATGCCTTTATTCCCAGCACTCAGTAGGCAGAGGCAGACGGGTCTCTGTGAGTTTGAGGCTAGCCTGGTCTACAAAGTGAATTCCAAGACAGCCAAGACTACACAGTGAAATCCTATGTCGAAAAGCGAACAACAACAACAAAAAACCTGTTTGAACTTTTAGTACTTAACATAGGTGAAAGACAAAATTGGGGTAGATGGATTAAGCATTGTCATAAATGAACACCTGGGATTGGGACTGGAGATAAGGCTCAGCAGTTATGAGTGCTTCTTGTTCTTCTAGAAGACTCTACTTAGGTTCCCAATACCCTTGTACCACAGCTCACAATGGCCTGGGACTCCGGTTTTAGGCGTCTGGTGCCACTGCCATCACACATACACATTTTTGCACTTAGTAAAAGAATTTAAAATATTTCTATGTCCTCAAACTTAAAATATCTGCCTGCCTCTGCTTCTACAGTGCTAGGATCAAAGGTATGTGCCACCACACCCAGCAATTACAATCTTTTTCTTTTTTGGTTTTTCGAGACAGGGTTTCTCTGTATTGTTTTGGAGGCTGTCGGTCCAGCCTGGCCTCGAACTCACAGAGATCCGCCTGCCTCTGCCTCCCGAGAGCTGGGATTAAAGGCGTACGCCACCACCGCCCAGCCACAATTACAATCTTTTTAGGAACAATTGCCTGGGATTTCATGATAGGCTAGAATAAATTTTCCTGTCTTCCCTGAGCATTTCTGCAAGAGAAAACCTAGCAATGTACCATGGCAGCATCCATATATAAACTGTTTCTTCCTAAACCATATATAACTTCTTGTAAGAGTTTGATTTGTTGGGCAAGTTCAAGGTTAACAGTAGAAACTAGGAGTTTGACTGAGTTGGTAGAGTGTTGCCTAGCATACACTAAACTTGGGTTTGATCCCTAGCACAGCATATACTGGATCAACCTAGCTGTCAGTAAGTAGAGGCAAGAAGGATCAGGAGTACAAGGTCATTCTTGGCTACATAGTAAACTCTAGATGGGTTAAAGGAGCCTGCACCTCCCCCCCCAAAAAAAAGTTTTGATGGATTGATGTGCTGGTGTGCTCCTTAGAAAATAAAAAATTAGCTGGGCGTTGGTGGCGCACGCCTTTAATCCCAGCACTCGGGAGGCAGAGGCAGGCGGATCTCTGTGAGTTCGAGACCAGCCTGGATTACCAAGCGAGTTCCAGGACAGCCTCCAAAGCCACAGAGAAACCCTGTCTCGAAAAACCAAAAAAAAAAAAAAAAAAAAAGAAAAAAAAAGAAAAAATTAATGCTAAAGCCCAGCAGTGGTGTCCCAGGTATTTATTCCCAGGACTCATGAAGCAGACAGCAGGTATACACAGAGAAACCCTGTCTTGAAAAACAAAGAAAGGCGAATCTCTGTGAGTTCGAGGCCAGCTTGGTCTACAGAGCGAGTTCTAGGACAGCCTCCAAAGCAATACAGAGAAACCCTGTCTCAAAAAACAAAAAATCCAAAAATGGGTACAATATATACATTGAGACCATTTACCTTTTATAGGTGGCTTTGGAGACTGTCCTGAAACTAGCTTTTGTAGACCAGGCTAGTCTCGAACTCACAGAGATCCGGCTGCCTCTGCCTCCCAAGTGCTGGGATTAAAGGCGTGCACCACCACCTTCCTGTGTATGGATGTTTTACCTGAATGCATGCCTGGTACCCATAGAGGCCAGAAAAGGGCATTGGATCCCCTGGACAGAAATTACAGAGGGTTGTGAGCCACCATGTAGGCACTAGTAATTGAACCTGGATCCTCTGAAAGAGTGTATGAATTCTTTGTCTGCATGTGTATATGTTCACCAT